TGCCATGCTTTCATATATTGAATATCTACTGTACCAAGAGTACTTAAAGTGAACACACTGTAACACTTTGTTGCAGTATTTACGTAAACAAAGTCCCGGTCAAAAACTCAAGTGGCCGGAACATGAGTCGATCGGTGCGCTTACAGAAAGTGCAAGTGTCAGCATTCTGTTGCACGCGCAGCTTAAAAGAGCATAATTATATACATATAATATATAAGATATACATAGCCGTCTCTCTTCTGTCCAACTGTGGGCAGCGCAGCAACGAGACTTAGGCTTACTAAGAACCTAAAGAAAAATGTATGAACAGAAAAAACTGAACGTTGGTAGCGGCACCTTTTCTGCTCCAAGTACAATAAAAATATAATTCGAATAAATATAGAGGACATCTTTTTACTACAATACTATAGGACCTAGAAAGTTTGGATTTGGCATGTGGATTATTGAGCTTATTGCTAAGCCCATTCTAAGGGCAACAAGCGCCTATTACGCAAATAATACGTGTCTGGCGCATACATTTAAAAAGTTTTTTGAAAAAAGTAAATGGGATTTTCTTTCGACTACTAATTTGCCAACATTTTTGCTCAAACTGGTCCGAATTGGCGCCATCTTGATTTCAGTAGCTTTGCTGCTTGAATATCTCTTTCTCCCTCGCACTCCTTTTAGATGAGTAACGGTAATAGTCTATGCCATCGACTAAAGGATTCTCTCTTGTGAGGAGTTTAATAACTCCCCACAAATCTCAGCAGCAGCAGCGACAGATGGCCGGCCGCTTGCCGTTGAATACGCGTAGTAACGGCACTGCGGGAAGAGAGAGTTTGGAGAACTCAGTTCAAGAGAGTTTGGAGAATTCAGTTCAAGAGAGTTTGGAAAATTCAGTTCAAGAGAGTTTGGAGAATTCAGTTCGGGGGAGTTTTGGAGAATTTAGTACGAGAAAGCTTGGAGAATTCGGCTCAAGAGAGTTTGGAGAGTACGAGGAAAGAGTTCTTGGAGAGAAGGAGCGAAGGGTTAACGGTAGATCGCCGCGCTTAGCACCCTAGAGTGGGGCCATGTGCAGAGGGCAAATGGTCGAACGGTAAAACCGCGGACTGAAGTGGTGCCTCCACCGCGGACTGAAGTGGTGCCTCCACAGATGCCAAGAATTAACGGTACCAGGAGCCCTATATAAGTGGCTGGAAGCATGATCAGTCGATCACGAAGAGTCAAACCGTCAGGATCAGTCAAGATACCAAAGTGAACAGATAAAAGATACAAGTGAATGGAAAAGCAGCGCCGTGGGAGCCTACAGGGAGAAAGATCACTACGACGAGACATTCGGGATTGGGATACCAGGAATCTCCGAATTGAGACGTAGGTAGCTGAGGCCCAGAGGGCATCACACGGCTAGGTCAAGGCGGAAGTCCCGGATCAACGTACGGCCGAAACCCTGAGTACCAGAAGCCACGCTACGTCCAGCCGCGCAGCCAGCACAGCCAGGAGCAGTGCGCAAGACATCGTCAAGGATCTTCAGGGAGCTACAGGACTGCGGTACCGAGATCATTTGGGGACTAAGCCCAATAAACCCACAACGAACCCGTTAATTCTGTGTTTTCTCACTGAGCTACTGGGCGGTCACGTTTATATAAATTTGGTGGGACGAACACACAATCTACTGAGCTAGCCGCACGAATCTCGTAGCGAACAGACCACAAAAATCAGTTCGTTACATCCAAGATGACTTGGCCAATGTTTCACAAAGGCTTAATGTCGCTCTGGACGGCAGATTAGAAGACATGAGAAAGGCATTATCCGAGTATTACTCAGAAACGGATAATGACCCACAACTCGTCGACATCTGGGCCGAGTTGGAAGCTACATACCACGACAAAGCCGGCCCAAGCATCACGTTAACGAACGCCGAAGGGGACAACATAGTATTAAGCCTGAGCGTTGACAACTTACAAAAAGAGGCAAACAGGAGAAAGTCAAGCCAAGACAGGAAAATAACAGCGACTTCTTCACCAGGCTGACGGATCAGGTCAGGCAACGGAAGCAGGGCTTCATCGAGTCGTTCAAAGACTACATGATCGACATGCAGACGATGGTGAGGCCACTTAATTAGTCAGCGAAAGATACCCTAAGGATCATCAAGGAAAACTGCACCCCAATTCTAAGGATCTTCCTAAGAGCGTACAAAGTGTCGGACTTGGACACGCTGATGATAATAGCAGATGAGTATGAAGAACTCGAAAACGAACGGGAAGCGTTCGCGCAAGAAAACAAATTCTCGAAGACCAAGTCGGCATCACCAACGCAGGTAACATTAATATATAAGGTAAGCACGGTACGTCAGCAGCTTGGACCTTAAGGATTGGTACTGGCAAATACCACTGAAAGAAGACAGCAGGCAGAACACGGCGTTTACAGTGCCGGGGAAAGGCTTATTCCAGTGGAGAGTAATGCCATTCGGACTTCATTCGGCTTCTGCGAACTTTTAAACGGGTGCTGGGCCGTGTGATCTGTCCCGAAATTTCGCCGCACGCATTTGCTTACCAGAATGACATCATAGTGATCGGGCGCTCGCTGGAAGAACGAAAGGCTAACCTGAAGGAAGTGTTCCGACGGCTAAATCAGGCAAATCTGAGGTTAAACTCGGAAAAGTTTCAATTTTTCAGGAAAGAGCTGCTGTATCTTGGTCATCGAGTTACTAGCGAAGGAATAGGTACGGATCCGGAAAAGGTAGCAGCCATCGCAGAACTAGAACCACCATCAACAGTAAATGAGCTCAGACAGTACCTGGGCGTAGCATCATGGTACCGCCGGTTTGTACCTGACTTCGCAAAAATAGTCAAACCTCTCACCGATCTGCTACGCAAGGGCAATCTGTGTGGACAGAGGAACATTATACGGCGTTCGAAAAGGTGAAGGCAAGACTCGGCGCAGACCCCGTACTGGCATGCCCCCATTTTGACAAACCATTAATCTTGCAAGCTGACGCGAGCGACTACGGCATCGGGGCGATCTTGACCCAGGAAATTGAACGAGGAGAAAAGGTAATCTCTTACTCAAGCCTAACGCTCAACGGCGGCGCACAGTGGTTGGACCTGTATGGGAGCCGCGGACAAAAATACTTCTAGTTGTTGTATCGTTTCAAAATTTTCAAATATTTTAATTATAGCAAAAAAAAAAATTTTATTGGAAATTTTAAGAGGAAGAGGAGTGGTTTATTATCGGCCCACCAATATTAATCCGTTAGTTTGGATTATTAAGTGAAAGTTACATGAAAAGAACATAACAATAATATTAAACAAAAATACAAATTATAGCAAAAGAAAACAAAATTTTAAAAAATAAATGATAACAGGATATATTTAATTTAAGTCATCGAGTAGTTCAAATGCTGATGCTGATAAAACGGACTTTTTTTAATGTGGGAGCTTTCTTTGGCCAGTAACATAAGGATCTGAGCTCAGAAGTAATCTGTGCATCAAATCTGTGTTTGTGTCAATCCGAGAAGTTTTCTTGGTGTGCAGTCTTCTAAACATTTTGATGTCCTTAATTTTTGACTCTGCAGCTTCTTCTGATAATTCTCCAATCGGCACAACTGCATAATTTATGACATCTGGAGCACTAAAATTTTGTGTACGGATGGTGGAAGATAGTAGCATGGATACAAGCTAATCAGCTTTCTGGCAGTATCAAGTGCATATTCTCCAAATTTTTTGAATTTTTGATTGTGTAGCCTGATGCCAAACACTGCAGCAATATTGAACACCGGATTATAATATCTTCATTAATACCCGTTATTTCTGCTGCTAATTTCGGATTTTTCAAAAACGCTTTGGCCGTATTGCCATCATTTGACGTGCCACTTCCTCCACTCCTAGGTGTATCCACAATAATTCCCATTCGTATGCGAAAATCATTCTGCATTTGGGATTGCCTTGTCGAAAGTACTTGTTTTCCTTCTGGAGTACTAACTCTCCAGCTCTTCAGGGCGAGTCTGTACGATACATGCAAAAAGTATTCAAAAAAACGAATATAGGAGTGTAATGGAGACAATCCAAACTCAAAGCGTGATTCACTAACCTTCTTTTTCAAACAATTTTCCAAATCGTCCATCTCTGTCGGCTTTGCCTCACATATGTAGCACTTAGAAGATGACGTGTGACTTAGGGCACTACAAATTTTCCCATCAACCATGGTCAACTGCAAGCTGTGTTTAATTTTAATTTCTTTACCGGACACATTACATGGCGTGGCATTCAACACTTCAATCTTAGCTTTGAAATACTTTTCTTCGTCTTCAGCTAATTGAGCCGTTTCTTTTGCAAATTGTAATCTTAATGGTCTGCAGTATCGTGTAAACGAAGGTCGCGGATTCTTCCAAAATTTTTTTTCATCTTTTGGATCATTTTCCATGGTTTTAAGTTGTAATGGCACATATGATGTCACAAAAAGACTGGAATCGCTCAAATCCTTGTTGCAGACTTTCTGTTTGTATTCTGAATGTCCAGTGCTGCCGTCAAATCCTCATTTTCCAATTAAAATAAGGTTATCAGAGGAATCACTTCCAACGCTTTCAAGAACATCATGCTGAAGTTTTACAATCCTCCTCGCAGTGTGGTCAACCAAGCTCTGTAACTCGACTTCAGCTTTTGGTTCACTTACTGTTATTTTGTCTGGATAGGTTAATTTCTTAGCCTTTAACAGTTGACTGTAGCTTTGAAAAAGGTCAAAGGAGGTTTTTGAGTTCACATAGCTTCGTATTAGAAAATATTGATGCTTGACCAAAACAGCTGCTTTGACCTTGAAGAAAAAAGAAACGGTGTTAGTATATGGTTGATTATGCACACATCTGCCAATATCTGCAGCTAGCTTTAACTTTTTTTATACCGTAAGATATTGACAAATACGCTGAATAAAAAAAGAATCGGGGCATCTTGGGTGATCACAGTTTGTCTTTCATCATATGGAGTTGCCTTGTTAACGACTACCCCACACGCGTAGGTCCGAAGAGAGGGTGAACTTTAAGGGCGGCGTGCGCCTGGTGGCGCTCGATTGGTGCGATCGGGGCGATCGTTTTATTCTGTTAACAATTCAAATCAGCCTCATACATTTCAAACTAACTTAATCTTACCGCAGTGTGCCCTCCTACGATTCACAAGACAATGAGAAGCACAATTTATGGCGGCATCCATTAAACCGATATTAGTAGGCCCGCACTTCAAGGGCCAAGAAATCCATACGAGATCGGATAAATTAACAAATACTAGATTTCTCTTAAAATACTTAGTCTACCTATCGATTACAATGTTCAACCGTCGACATCCCCGACCCCGTGAAGAACCGCTTCACTCAAATCCAAAACTGCAAGTTTTGAGACGGGCCGCAACATTGTCCGAGATAGGCCATTTTCGTTCACGCGCACAGTAGCGCGTCTGACGACTCCATCAGCTCCGCTGTAGACCTCCTCCACGATTCCCTTGCGCCACTCTCGTCTGGGCAAGGCAGGATCGCAGACGAAGACCATATCGCCCTGGCGGATGGGCTCCGTTCTCCGGCACCACTACTCGCGGCGCACAAGCGTAGGCAGGTACTCCAGGACCCACCTCCTCCAGAAACGGTCTCGCAGCATGCGAGCAATCCTCCACTGCTTTCGCGTAGAACCCTCCTTGGGCAGCTCCGCATCCAATCCAGGCGTATTCGGCAGGTTAGCTGCTCCCTTGAGCAGATCATTTGGCGTCAACGGCGCCTCTTGGTCCGCATCCACCGGCAAGTGGGTGAGCGGACGCGAGTTGACTACATTCTCCGCCTCGATCAGGAAACTCTCCAACACATGAACCCTCGGCGCGACTTCCTTCAGGGTATGGCGCAGCACTCGTTTGACGCACTGCACCATCCGCTCCCATACTTCGCCCTCAGACGGGTTCGATGGGCAATTGAAATCCCATTCAATGCTTCTGCTGGACAACTCACTCTGTATCCTCTCCGTCTCGAACACGTCTCCAAATCGCTTGGCCTCCCTGTCAGCTCCCACGAAGTTCTTGCCGTTATCACTCCGCAGTCTATGTACTGGTCCTCTACGGCAGACGAAGTTCCTCATCGCTATTATGCAGGAATCCGTCGACAGGTCATGAGCCAACTCCAGATGAATCGCCCTTGTCGTCAAGCATGTGAACAAGGCGACCCAACGCTTCTCTCTGTGACGGGATACAGTCACCAGCAGTGGCCCAAAGTAGTCCAATCCGGTGTACTTGAATGGCCATCCTCCCGCTTCCAGTCGATCCTCTGGTAGGGGTCCCGTTATCGGCGGCAACGGCCGCGTTCGCTGCAACTTGCATTCGTTGCACGACGAGATTACTTCCTTCAGCACTCGTCTCATCTTCGTGACCCAGAATCTCGTCCGAATCTGAGCAATCGTCGCATCCACGTTTTGATGCTTCATCTGGGCATGAAAGTGCCTCACAATCAAATCCGTAAGACTGTGCCTGTGTGACAGTATTACGGGCCTCCTCGCACTGTACGGCATGCACAGCGCGGCATCAACTCTGCCATAAACTCGCAGAACTCCATGTTCATCCACGTAAGGCGCCAGACCTCGAATATCACTCGAGCTGGCGACGTCCTTTCCGCATTCCGCCGACCTCATCTCGTCGGGGAACGACTCCAACTGGGCCTGTCTGACTAACAGGTTCTCCGCGGCCTCACACTCCGATGCAGTGAGTGCGTACTCCTCGATCTCGCTTCTCTGCTTGCGACACCAACGCGCAAACCTCAAGACCCATGCTGTGGTCCTCACCAGGCGACTGAAGCTCGAGAATCTCTGGAACGGAATGGCAAATTCATCCGCGGCCATTAATGCAAACTCACCGGGCATCTCCTCTTCATCAGGCGCATCTGGAACACGCTTAGTTCCCTCCTCAGGCGCATCTGGAACACGCTTAGTTCCCTCCTCAGGCGCCGGCCAGCCGCTCGCTGGCTACCTCAAAAATGCGGGTCCGCTTAACCAACGTGATTCTGGGCTAAGGTCCGCCTTATTCTGCGACCGCGTCGCATCATCCGCTGCGTTCTCAGCTGTAGGTACCCACCTCCACTGGGAAACCTTCGACGACTCCAAAATCTCCGCCACTCGGTTGCCAACAAACTGCTTGTACCGGCGGTGGGTGCTGCCGAACCATCTCAGCACCGTTTTTGAGTCCGTCCACAACACCGTCTCGCTGATGTCCACACTGTGCTCCTCCTGGACAGTGTTCATCAGTCTGGTTCCAAGAACTGCTGCCTGCAGCTCCAACCTTGGGATCGACATCGTTCTCATCGGCGCGCCCTTCGTCTTTGCGCACACGAAGCTAACCATCACGTTGTCATCCTCGTACGTGACCCTCCAATAGGCCACCGCCGCGAATGCAGATTGACTTGCATCCACGAACACGTGCAACTCGACGGTCCGAACTGCTCCATGCCCGAAATAGTGACGAGGGCATCGGAACTGTCCCACGGCGACCATCTCCCTGCGCCAGGCCGCAAAGGCTCTGCCTATCTCCTCCGGTAGTGGTTCGTCCCACTGGATCTTCTGCCTCCAGATCTCTCACAACAACAGCTTCGCTGTAATCATCAGGCAGCACAGGAATCCCAATGGGTCGAACGTTGACATCAGCAGGCTCAAATACTCCCTCTTTGTAGGGACTCGATCTCCACTTAGAACGCTACTTGGCACTCGGTGATACTCCACGTTGAATCTGAAGTCGTCCGTGGCTACCTGCCAGCGCATTCCAAGGATCTTCTGCTCAGCCTCACCCCATCCGACGCTCTTGACTTGTCCGGGTGGTCCCAACGCCGCTTCCACGATGGGTGAGCTGGATGAAAACTGGCATAACTCGAATCCAGCCTCCGCATGTATCTCCTTCACTCGGGTAGATACACTTATAGCTTCGCTCTCTGTAGCGAAACTGTCCACATAGTCATCGACGTAGTGGTAGTCGATGATGGCCTTGACTGCCCTCGGGTCCGAATCCCGAAACTTCAGGGCATTCACCGTCTTTACGTAATGCGCAGCGCTCGGCGAGCAGGCTGCTCCAAAGGTCATTACGTTCATCTCGTACACATCCGGGTCTCGATCGTCGTTGCCATCCCTCCAAAGGAATCGTTGGGAACATCGATCCTCGGGTCGGATCAGCACTTGGTGGAACATCTCCTTGATGTCACCGCAGACTCCGACTGCTCCTTCCCTGAAGTGGAAGAGCACGGCTGGCAAGGGCTTGTAATTCTGAGGCCCCTTGTCCAGCGCCGAATTTAGCGAGGTTCCTCCAACCTTGGCTGCAGCATCGAACACAAGCCGGACCTTACCGGGCTTGTTCGGGTTTTCGACACCAAAATGTGGCAAATACCATAGCCTTTGGATACGTAATCCTTGATGATACGATCGTATTCCAGCGCCAACTGCCCGTTGCGCTTCAACTTCTTCTCCACATTGATCAGCCGTCTGTGCGCCATCTCATAGCTCCGTGGCAGCACAGCGTAGTCGTCCTTCCAGAGTAATCCCGTCTGGTAGCGACGCCCCACTTTCACCGTGGTATCTTCGAGGATCCTTTGTGCCCGCGCGTCATCGCTGCCTGCGACCTGTGGCGCGAGCTTCACACCAAAGCTTTCTATCTCGAAGTAGTCGTCCACCATCTTTTCCACCGTATCATCCATTGACACGGCTAGAAGGCAGGACCTCGGTGACGGCGTAGTCGATTGCCCACTTACTGGCCCAAACACAACCCATCCAAGCTCGGTTGCGGCCGCATACGGTCCCTCTCTGGCAAACCGCCTCGTCCTAAGTGGCAATCCCAAATGTCCATGGTCCAGTCCGATGAGCAACTTAGGCACCACGTTGATGTAGGGCTTCATCGGCAGACGCGCATCCTTATGCACGCCCTGGACATCTTGTCGACCTAACGTCTGCATTGGCAGACTCAGGCTCGAAACGGAGTACACGTTCCTCAAAGCGTGGCGAGTGGGCTTCCCAGCTCCACTTATCTCTAGGCTCACCACGTTGCTGGGCTCTCTGCTGGCCCTTCCTCCAAACCATTGTATATTCAGCTGTCGATGCACGCCTCGCACTCCCAGATCCCTCCGTAGCTCGTCATCGATTATCGTGACGGAGGATCCTTCATCCAAGAGCGCGTATGTATCCACCTGGCGACCAGCTCCGTACAGCGTTACTGGCAGTATACGGAACAAAAGTCGGCCTCCTTCGGCGTCAACGCAGTTTAAGTTCCTCTGCACGGGCGCCTCCGCTGGCTGCGGGGCCCTTATCTCCAGGCTGTTTCTGGGGACAGCCGACTGTAGGCTCCCCTCGTGGTCCCTGTAACCACCTCGTGGCGAAGACCTCCTGTCCGGGCCGCGTCTGGAAACTGCTGACTGCTGGTTTCCTCCGTTGTGGCTCCTGAAGCCACCTCGCTGCGCCGGCCATCTTCGCTCCTCGTCCGCACCATGTAGCAGACGGTGATGCAATCTGCGGCATCCGTTGATCTGGCACTCGCCATGTACATCGCAGGTTCTGGTCGTATGTCCACTCCGTAAGCATGTGAAGCAGAGCCGGTGCCTCCTCACCATGCTCCACCTACCCGGTGGCGAAGCTCCAATGAACTCCCTGCAGCTCGTCGCAGCATGTTGCCCTCCACAAATTGGACAACCTCCATGCCGATCATCCTGTTGATCGCATCCGTTCTGGTCGACGCTCGCATGTAGAACTCGACGCCTCGGCTCCTTTCCCTCGACGTCCAAAACCGTACACACGACGTTTGCGTACTCCTGCAGCCACACGCTGAAGTGCGCCACAGTGGGAAAGGGCTCGATCGATGCAGCGTGCCTGGCCCAGTCTACTCGCTTGCTCGTAGGAAGCTTTGCCACAAGCTCCTCCATTAGCGTTGGGTTCCGCAGGTGCTGCTCCGCCTTCGTTGAGGTTACTCACTCGGGTTGCGAAGGGAACGATCCTCGCCAGGTGCTGCTCCGAAATCGGCGGCACCTCTCGCACGCTGTTCAGCTGGCTGCGTATAAGCTGCTCCGGTCGGCCGAACCTAAAGCGCAGCTGCTCCATCACGGCGCTGACGTTCCCAGGGTGAATCAGCAGCGACTTCACTGTCTCGCGTGCTTCATCCTTCAGCGCCTTCAACAAACTCTGGTTGTTCTCCAAGTCTGTGCAGTTGTATGCTTGGGTCGTCTCCACAAACGCACAGTTAAAGATCGGCCACTCCTCGGGCTGCCCTCCAAATACAGGCAGGTCCGGAAGCTTCCTTGGCCCGTACACTCTTTGGGATTCGTTCGGCGTTATCGGGGCGTAGGATCCGACAAATGGCGATGCTGTTGCCACGTTGTGGGTGCTCCCGCCCGGTAGCACGAATCCATGCGCTGTCTGCGCAACACTTGTAGCACACAGTGGCTCCACAAAATGATTGCTAGTCGTTAGCAATGGCGGTCCACTCCAAGATGGCGGCAGCGTGCAGGCCGCACTGCTCGCACCGACACCGCTATGTGGGACCGGCCCGACCCCGTTAGTTGAGGCCTCACCGTTAGATGTGGCTAATGGCGGTCCGCTCCAAGATGGCGGCCGCCCCGACGCTCCACTGATGGCGCCATCTGCGCTTGGGCCAACTGCGATTGGCGCGCAATTGGCGGTGCTCACACTGTTCAGGGCTTTAACCTGCTTTAGCTCCTCCTCCAACGCCGCAATCCTTTTCAAAAGGTCCGACGTGAGGGACTGGTTCGTCTCCCGCTCTGGCTCTGATCCCGCAGCTGTGACAGCAGTACTCCTCGGTTGGGACGCTACTGTAGTCACCGTAGTGGCTGGGCTAGAAATGGCCGCCGCCGAGGTTATGTTCACTCGCGGCCGGTTTTCTGCTCCACTACTCACTGGCTGCTGATCCGCTCGCGTTGCTGTAGGGGTGGCTTCCCCTCCTCTCAGCCGCGAGCTCCTCTTCGGGGAATGCTGCATCCTAACAGGTCCAAATACGGCGCTGCCTCAGCGCTCTCCAAAATGGCGGCACCTGTGCCTTCTGGCCGCTGGCTGCGGCAGGCGATGCTTGACGCTCCTTGCGTCTTCTGGCCCGCTGTCTGCGGACCCCGTGCTTGGCGCTCCTTGCGCCTCCTGACCGCTGTCTGCGGTCTCCTTAACTGACGCGGCCTGCGTCTCCCTGTCGCTGACTGCGACTCCGTCCGTACCCAGTGTTCGGCGCTGTCTGCGCCCGTCTATGTCGCTGCCTGCGACTCCTCTACTGGTACGGGAATTGCTCCTGGCAACTCTCTAGCTGGTCGTCAAGCCGTCCTCCAGCGCAAGTTGCCCTTACAGTCTCCCTAGGACTGCGAAAAAAAGGAGTTGTCTTGCATCATATGGAGTTGCCTTGTTAACGACTACCCCACACGCGTAGGTCCGAAGAGAGGGTGAACTTTAAGAGCGGCGTGCGCCTGGTGTTAACAATTCAAATCAGCCTCATACATTTCAAACTAACTTAATCTTACCGCAGTGTGCCCTCCTACGATTCACAAGACAATGAGAAGCACAATTTATTGTGGCATCCATTAAACCGATATTAGTAGGCCCGCACTTCAAGGGCCAAGAAATCCATACGAGATCGGATAAATTAACAAATACTAGATTTCTCTTAAAATACTTAGTCTACCTATCGATTACAATGTTCGACCGTCGACACAGTTAAAACTTTTAGTAAACATAAAAAACAGGAATACAAAAGATACTAAAAATATAATAAAGTAAAGAATTAATTTCAAAATAACGACAACACAATTTAGCTTTTATTAATATTGAAACTTAAATATAATACCTTTAACTTCAAAATCCATTATATATAAATTAAATTGGGCAGCGTAATTAGTTGACTGAACACTTTGAAGTTCGCTTTTATTGTGAAAAATTCGCGATGCGTGCAGATGCGCTTTGCAAATGTTCACAGCTTCAATTCTATTTTTAGAAAGTCCCGTTAGATATTGTGACGATCCTGCCTGACGGCTAGACCGCCACAATGTGTATATAAGCAGTAGTTATCTAAGTTTGGCGTTATTATCATTAGTACGTAAGAGATATAAAATGAAGGTTTATGATTTAGTGAGTGGAAAGCGAACATATGGATTTTCGGGTGCAAAACCAAAATAGGTCAAGTTTCGTTCCGCACCACCCGCCCGAGGTGGTAACCGTAGGGAAAAATACTAGAAAATAGAGAAAATACCAAACCGATCTGACGAGGTAAAGGGAAAAAGGATGAGAGGGCCACACGGCGGTTTCCGCTCTCTCTCTGCTCTGGTATCTGGAGGCAAACGGTCGCGCACGCGGGCGAAATAATAAAAAAGGGAAACACGCGGAATAGGGAAAGCTCGGTCGGTAGGAAGTAAGCCGGCCAACCACGACAGAATCTGGCTGCGGCCTCGCCCGAAGGTCCAGCCCGTGGAATTTTTCGCCTCGCAAGCCTCATCCCTTGGCCACGTACAATAGAACCCGGCTGCGTCCTCGCCCGAAGGTCCAGCCCGTGGAATTTTTAGACTTGCGGGCCTCATACCTCGGCCACGTACGATAGAACCCGGTGGCTGT